GCTCCACCCAACAGGGTGAAGAATGGGGGGCAGAAACAGGTGAGCGGGGAGGAAGGCAGGAGCTCTCCCACAGCCTAGGGGTCAGTCTGCGTGGAGAGCGGGGTCAGGACCTCTCCAAAGCGAGCTGGTGAGTCCTCGGGAGAGCAAGGTACACTTGGGGGGGAGCAGGGCACCAGGCTGGGAGAGCCTAAGAACCCGAATTCGACAGATTTCTACCCCAACTTCCGTCGAGTTCAGGGGCAAGAGCAAGTGGCCAGGCCATCTGGCTCCTATTCCTCAAATCAAACTCGCAAACTGCCCTACGATCACAGGCTCCGGGGCGGCAGGTGGTGCGATGGTTAAGGGCGCTGGACTCGCACATGGCTGACCACGGTTCGAGTCCCAGACCTGGCAGCTTGCTTTCTTACTTTCCTTCTCTCTCTCTCTCTCTCGCTCTGTCACTTCCTGGTCAAATTAAAATAAATAAAAAGATTACTGACTTTAATAATCAAATATACACTTCAGGGTTAAAACCAGCAGCATCTTAGAAGTTTCTTAAAAATCAAATACAGGGACATGAATAACTTTGTCAACAGGGCCCCAGTGGCGCAGGGCAGTGAGGCAAACTGAGACAGTGTACCTGAGCTGCTGCACCATCCGACAGTACGGACCACACCCCTGCTCTCTGCCGGGCTCTGGGTTGGGGAGAGGCACAGTCCAGCCCACCCCACGCTGCCTGGCCCCCCCACCTGCCAGGGACTGAGACACCTTCAGTCCTGGACAGCCGCCCTGCCAGACCACGTGACTCCCTGTCACATCCCAAAGCTTCAGGCGTGTACCACGTGCCGGCTGCCCTGCCGGTCACCCTCGGCCTCACTGCCCAGCTCTCTAATCCTCGCCAACACCCAGGGTCCCAGGTCTGACCTCAGGGGCCTGAGCTCTCATGCCAGCAGATCTGGCATCAAGGGGCTGATCCTGAAGGGTCCGAAGGGACCTGGGTTCTGGCTCCCTCTTGGGGAGACACCCCTGGCCCCCCACACCTACCAGATCCACCGCCATCTAGAAACCAGACTCCACAACTCCAGGGCCAGTCTCCCAGCGCCAGGCCCACTTCCGTGTAGCTGCACCCTTGCCCTATCAGGGCTCAGCCCCGGCCCGGCTCCTGGAGGGGGTGCAGGCGCTCAGTTCCCCCTCCCCCTCCTCAGGCTGTGGCTGCTGGGACCAGCCCTCGAACCTCATGGCCAGGATTCCCTGTACCCCAACTTCCTATGTCCTAAATGACGGACCAGGAGGAGGGGACCGAACTCCAACAGCTTAAGTCCCATCCTGGGGGCTGGAGGGCGGCCTGACCCTTGTCCTGACTTCCCAACGAGTGACCATGGACCTGCAAACCCCACCAGCAAATTCCCAAGGAACCACAGCCCCTCTCCATGCGGATGGCTCTGTCCCCTTTAGAGGGTGTTCACCCTTCCATGGGCACCGGGATCAGGTGGCTCATACTGCACTCCCGAGGCCCAGAGGCTCCTCCCCTCCCTTTCTAAAACGTGCACATCCACACAACCCCCCGAGAGCGCTCTCAGCAGACCGGGCGCTCAGCACGTCCCCACATACACAGAACGGCTGGGTGGCCATGCAGAGCAGCCCAGCTCCACCTACACCTGCCCGTAGGCCCTGACTCTCCAAGTTCCTTCTCTACGCACTCTGACAGAGCTCGCTCCTCCTCCCTAGAACACGCACCCCTACCCCAGGCCCCATCTGCTTCCCCCCAGTCTCACCCTGACTCCTGGTGTCACACCCACATGTTCCCTAGGGCAGGGCTGGCAGCGCTCACAGTGCTACGAGATCAGCACTCCCCAGCAGCTGGCCTGGGGGGACGACAGAGCCAACCATTGGGCTAGAAGCACTACTCTGAGTCCTGCTCAGGCCACCAAGGGGCACGGCAAGCCAGAGAGCTCAGAGCCAGCCTGGGTGCCACCTTGCCTTTCCTCCTGTCTGAGTCCCACTCTGCTCACCTCTACTCCGGCTTCCATCCGGCACATGACAGGTGGGATAACCACAGCGCCTCCCCCCTCTCTTGGTCCCACCGCAGCAGGGTCCTTCTGGCCCCCACCTAACCACCTCCGCAGGCCCAAGTGTGCTATGTGCTGTTCTGCTCCTCCTCCGTCTTCTCTGCCTGGCACTCTAAGTCACGCCTCTGCCAAGACACCTTCCTTAATGCCTCTGGACCACGGGAGGGCCGCCCTCCGCTGTCCGCACAGCGCAAACTCCAACACCTCACTGCCAGCTGCACTGGGACGGGGCTGGCGCCACCGCACCTCCACGCTGCTGCGCTAGGACCCCACTGTCCAGGTCTGCCGGTGGACGCCACGTCCCAGTCCTGTGGCTGCAATTCCCACATCTGAAAAGCACTGGAAAACCAGAAGTTTCCTAAACTCATTTGGCAATAAGGCTTCAGCCAATCTCATTTGATGAAATCTGATCTGATCTAATTTGAGGCTATTTATAGTCTTTATTTATCCTTCTTAGTGTAACTATTCATATAGTTCCCTACAGAAATAAGCATGATGGATTAGTTTCTGCTTTAGACCTTAATACTGCATAGTAAATGTACCATACTGCCTTTTTAAAATCCAAAATGTTCCAAGTTCTAAAACATCTGGCCCCAAGAACTTCAGAACTATGAAAACGAGACAAAGTTACTCACCCACTGTGAGTGCCTGGAGTTAAGCCATCGAACCCCTTACCCTGAACGTCCAGACGGCTGCAGGGAGGCCTACGGCATCACTCGGTAAACGCGGAGGATGAGCAGGGAGACGGAGCTGTGCTACCCGTGTGTGCCCTGCACGCCGTGACCACGGTCCTCTCCTGGTTCTGGGAAGACCGGCCTCGCGGGAGAAGACTATCTCATAAGGAGCAATACGATTTCCACCTGGTGCTCTTACAGCGCTGCCCCGAGAACCCTGCCACCCAGGACACCATAAACACTGCAGCTGGCAGCCCGCTGGGGCCAGCCACCAGCCAGCACTCACCACCAGCTGTCGGAGGAGGCTCCCAGCTGACCCCAGCCCCAGCCACATCTAACTGCAGCCAAATGAAGACCACGAGCAAGGGCCACGCGGCTGATCAGTACAACGACCCTGCTGCATAAGCCACTGCGTGTTGGGAGCACCTGAAACCAGGAGTGAAACCCACCTAGGTGACTGGTGAGCAGGGCGAGCGGAGGATGAGCAGGGAGACGGAGCTGTGCTACCCGTGTGTGCCCTGCACGCCGTGACCACGGTCCTCTCCTGGTTCTGGGAAGACCGGCCTCGCGGGAGAAGACTATCTCATAAGGAGCAATACGATTTCCACCTGGTGCTCTTACAGCGCTGCCCCGAGAACCCTGCCACCCAGGACACCATAAACACTGCAGCTGGCAGCCCGCTGGGGCCAGCCAACAGCCAGCACTCACCACCAGCTGTCGGAGGAGGCTCCCAGCTGACCCCAGCCCCAGCCACATCTAACTGCAGCCAAATGAAGACCACGAGCAAGGGCCACGCGGCTGATCAGTACAACGACCCTGCTGCATAAGCCACTGCGTGTTGGGAGCACCTGAAACCAGGAGTGAAACCCACCTAGGTGACTGGTGAGCAGGGCGAGCGTGCTCCCTGCCCTCCGTTCAGGCCTGAGGTCCACACCCCAGGCCCTGCAACTGTTCACACCCCCCATCCTCACTAGGGACCAGTGCTCAGTAGGAAGCTACCCGAACTTTCTTGGTAGCTTAGAACCCCAGCAATGACCCATGCTGCCTCGGCCCTGCGGCAGGGATCTGCAGCGGAGGGATGGATGGCCTCTGTCCATCCTCCACGTCCACACGGCCACTTGGAAGGCTGGAGCTGACGCTGGACCCGAGGCTCACTCACACGTCAGTGGGGAGGCTGGCCTCGACTGCCACATTAGCTGGAGTGCTGGCGGGACCACCACAGGGCTGCTCCATGTGACCCCGGGGTCCCCCAAATGTGGTGGGTGGATCCCAAAGCTGAGTGTCCCAAGACATGACGTGCTGAGTAAAGCCGTCCCCTCCTCTGCAGCCTCAGAGCACCTCTGCCTCCTCGCCGGTCAAGGGGATCTGGGGTCTCCACCACCACTGGGTGTCCGACAGTAACATGTGGGACAGGGTGTTCACAGGTGTGACAACCTGCCACACCTTCCTTTTAACACAGACTGTCCTGAATCCCAACTCGGGTCTCTAATGTGTCATTTGAGATTTACCTGCAAGGTACAGCCTCAAAACCAGCTTTGATTTTCTAGATTTTCTGTCACTCCTTTAAGGAACTGACGTAGCTGATCTACACTAACTACCAAGGCAGCAGCACGCGTGGGGTGAGAAGTGGGTCTTCAGTACATACTCCCAGCCAAAGGGGCCGCTGGCTAACCTCCACCATCTCCCGTCCTCACTTGAGGACCGCGGGGCGCGGGAGATGGTGGACACTCTAATTCTACGTATTCTCTAGCCTGTCCCCCTTTTCTTAAAAGCACGTGGACACCAGATGGTCAGCTTCCACTCCTGAGCAATAACGGAGAAGCCACCTTTAGCTGTAAAACCAGTTCCGGTGGAAGGGACGGTGCCGGCACCCCTCCTACCTCTGCCGGGCCTGCACTTTCAGGTCCACACTGTTCACTGTTACATGCCTACTGCATGGCCAGGCTGCGTACTTTCAAAAGGGAAGACCTGAAAGGGAGTCGGAGAAGTACACTAAATAATTCAAGGCCTCAGCGAGTAAGACCTGGAGGGCGGGACGCAGGTTGTCCGTCCTGGAAGAGAAACCCTGGGGAAATACTGTGCGAGGGCAGCGGAAACACGAGGGTGGGAGGCCGCAGCCCAACTGCGGGAAGCCGGGTCACACCGGCCGGTCACGTGGCCCCTCATTCGTGAAGGGACTTGGGGGAGGGCAGGGTTGATGCGGATGTCTCCAAAGTGTCCGGCGTCAGGACGGAGAGGACAGGGTCAATGTCCTCGATGCCCAAACAGGAACTACGTCGAGGGCTCGGCACGTGGTGCTGGAGGGCCGGGTGGCGCAGTGGTCGCCGGTAACGGCAAAGCCCGGCAGCGTGGGGTAGAGGGAGGCCGTGCGGGTCTAACGGCAGAGGCCAGGGCGAGCGCTGTGCGACTGAGAACAGCGGCCGGCCGGCCGGCCTTGGGTCCTCCGGACCTGACCCGCTCGGGTTCGGGCCTCCCTGGGCACGCAGGTGGGCGAGTCCCTCCCGGCGGGCGCCCAGGGCGGAGGCCGCGCCGCGCCGCGCCCCGTCCCCGCCCCGCGGTC